CATCTGTTGAAAAGGAATGCTGGCAACAGCAGTGGCCCGGGGTGGAGATGGAAGAACACAGGCCAGGCCGGAGGGACTGCCACTTCACTCCTCACCCTTCCATGGGACAGCTGACAGCCACACCCCTTCCTGCTTCCAAGGGCCAGAGGCTCCTTTGGGGAACGGAGGGAATCTGCTCTGGAATCAGAAGAGGCCTCAATGTCGGGGGGCCCTCAAACGAGGGCAGTTTCTTGGGACCCTAGAGTTGGGGTGTGGTGACAGGCAGAGGAGAAGCAAGGGGAGAGTGGCAGGAAATGGGGGTGGGCCTCAGCGCCTCGGAAGGTGCGTGGATTCCATGCTAAATGCGACGAGGGAAGCTACTGGAGATCTGCAGAAAGTCATCATAGTATGACGTATGTTAAGGGAAAAGTCCTCTGGCATTCTGGATTTCTGCAGTATTCCATCCTTTTTATTGCCCTCTGTGTCCTTAAAATAACAGCTTCCTTTACTGGAACTGGTCTTTACTCCTGGAAATCAAAAAGACCCTGACTGGAAGCAAGCAGAGGAGGAAGGAGCAGGTGCTAAGGGAGGGTAGGGTGGCTGTCTCAGGGAGGGAGCGCCCAAGCTGCGTGCACAGGATGAGCAGGGATGACAAAGCAAAGGCATGGAGCCAGGACCCGGGGCCCTGAGCGGGTGGAGGGTGTGGAAAAGGCCACAGTGAGGGTGGCACTGAGACTTCAGGAGGCCAGAAGCCCCAAGTGAAGTGCTTCAATGGGGCCCGATGGCCAATGGGGATCAAGGGATCAGGCAGGAGGGACAGATGCCAAGAGCCTGGGCAGGGGCGGATGCTGGGCCCAGGGAGCAAGGGCAGACACAAGCAAGGGCTTGCAGTAAAAGGCCCAGGTCCCGGCCTGGGTGAAAGGACTGAGGGAGACATCACCATCTGCAATCAAGAACTCTGATGGAGGAGGGAAAGAGTTACTCTTTATTACACACCTACTATGTGCCAGGCGTGGTGCCAAACACCTCACGTGGCCTTATGTGGGCCGCACAACAGCCTCTGGAACACAGACCATTATTATTTCCATTTTTACAGGTGAGAAATCAGACTCGGGTAAATGAAGTTGATCAAGATTCCATAGACATCAAGCAGCAAAACTAGAATGAGATTTCGAATCTGACTCCAAAACCAGTGCTCCTAACCTTTACACGGAGGCATGGCCTTCAGCTGAGAGGACCCACCTGGGCTTGTGAAAATGCAGATGTCCTACCCACACGGGGCAGACAGAATTCAGAGTGGACGGCCAGGTACTTCACCTTCACCTCCGGGGCCCAGTGCCGGAGTGAACCACAAGCGGCCGGGCTCCATGGGCCCAAAGAAACTCCTCTTCCAGCTACCGAAGACCAGGCAAATAATTCTGTAAGGACCAACGCGCCCAACTTTACAGGGGTCCCGGTTCTGAACAGTCTGTGTACTACAGAAGGTTAGCTCTAGAGGAAATCCTTGTGATCACCATCATCTTCACTTATTACTGAGCACTTCCTCTGTGATGGGCGCCACTCTCAGTGCTTTCTGTGGATGAGGGCACTTCACCCTTACAATTCTCTGAAG